ATATTTATCGAGGATCTGTGAGAATATTTAAATTTATCGATGCATTTATATATTCTAAAATACGCAATTATTAATTGCAGTAGATTAGTTAAATTTTCCAAAATTTTTTAAATTAATGTTCTTTTTCATTTTTAACCCCGTCGAGAATTTTTACGCTTTTCGTATTACCTCTTTCTTGTTTCTCTTTTAATATTGTATATCTATATTTTCTATATTAATCGAGAATCTGTGAGAATATTTAGATTCATTATTTATGGATTGATATATTTTAAAATACGCTATTATTAATTGCAATAAATTCGTTAAATTAGTGAGTTTTAGATATTTTCAGTAATAACTGCTTATATTCGTTGTCAGAAAGTACAAAAATTTCTGAAAATAATTTTATAAATCACAGCATATTCTATATTTATATATTATTTATTAATCGAGGATCTGTGAGAATATTTAAATTTATTATTTATATATTTTATATATTTATATTCGTTGTCAGAAAATACAAAAATTTCTCAAAAATATTTTCTAAATCGCAAAATATTCTATATTAATTCAGGATCTGAATATTTAAATTTATTATTTATGGATTAATATATTTTAAAATACGCAATTATTAATTGCAGTAGATTAGTTAAATTTTCCAAAATTCTTTAAATTAATATTCTTTTTCATTTTTAACCCTGTCGAGGATTTTTACGCTTTTCGTATTACCTCTTTGTTGTTTCTCTTTTAATTTATGCGTGTTTATTATTACGCGAACGTTTCTCGTTTTACCGTATCTTTCACCGGCGAAACGGAGCCTTAAATTAGTATTATTTTTAGAATTTTAATAAATCTCCAGTTATACTCGGATTCCTCGGGGAATAAGCTGCTCGTATAACTATTTATTATTACACATGACTGTCATTATATGTAATTTCTCGTTGAAATAATCCTTATTTTTAATATAATAATTAACCGGTTATTTGAGCTGCCATAAATTAATTCATTGAACGGGAGCTCGTTCAATTATAATATAGCGACTGTAGCGTGGTTAATTATACTAGCTTTGAACCTAGGTAGAAAAATTCCAACCACTATGGTATAATTAATTCTACGGTACCGCGATGATAATTATTCCGTATTATACCGACTAAGACGTCGTTCGGATAAACAGAATTGAGCAAAGGATATTTTCACATGGCACCTAGCACTATTTCCTCTCCGAACGTGACGATATCTCAAGTATTTTCCCTTTCGATGACGCCTCCCCTCTATCCGTCCTTTTTTTCCCTATAATGCATATCATCGTCGCCACTAACTAGAACGTACGTGTAGCGTACGTGATTATGAATATACTCGACGTGCCCACCTGAATATCGAAGCAGGTGTCCCCATTCATTCAGCGAACTCGCTGTCTACTCGAGCGAGCGTTGCCTGTAGCGTGGTATTCAAGTGTCTGCAGAGCATAATCGAGTGTTCTCCGTGACATTATCATTATGAACGTTTCCCGTTCGAATTGGTCGCCAAACGAGGCCTGTGCTTTTACGCGCACTCGTCCCCGATTCGCGTCTTCGTCGGCTTCTCTTTGCCCGACGATCCTTATCCTCGCTGCGAGATCCTTGCCCTTGTTTAATTTCGATCTTGTTCCTTGAGTTGGAAAATAAATTTCACGCGATACTTCCGAGCATGCAATATCGAGAGATTGGACAGCAGAGAAGGCTAGATAATTATTTCTCCCCGGCCATCGCAGATCCCCCCATTTCCATATATTTGGATACTAGTCTGCGCTAATCGCCAGAATTTTCTCGTTATTATGTATGATACGTAATTTATAATAATGTCGAATGAATATACAGATTTATTAAAAGAAACCAAGCTTCACTCGAAATCTCAAAAGCATTTTACAAAAATTTACGAGACATCCCCTTTGAAATAGGCTAAGTTCTGTTTGAAAATTTTTTTCAAATTTTATTAAAATTATTAAAATTATTAATATAAAAATATTAAAAATTTTTGAAATAAATCGCAGTTCAGGAAATAAGTGAGAAATTTTGTAATATCTTAAGGAAAACAAACATATACAGGGTGTCCTGTTTAAAGTTTCTCACCTATTTCCTAAGCTACAATATCCTAAAGAAGTTTTATAGTATCTTTGTAGTAACTTTATAATATCCTAAAGAAGACAAACATATACAGGGTGTCCTATTATAAAGTACAAAATTCAGTTGTACCCCCATCCACCCTAACCTTAAAATTGTTCAAAAATTGCTATTCTTTTACAATTCTTCGTCGTTCCTATTCTAATTTTAACTTCGTTTCAGATATTGCTTAATTAAGAAATAAACAAAAATGTTAGATTTATGTATATCATTTATTTATCATTCTGGAATGGCTATAGAACTTTGATATATAGCTATATATGGCTATAGCATTGTATAAATGGCTACACTCTGTACTATATTACTAATTCTTAATATCTCTAGCGATAATTGATCCATCTATTGATTGTTCTTGCATTGCTATGCAGTGTAGCTGATCAGTGTATAGATTAATCCAATGGATATAGAACTGCATAGATGGGTAGCCTTAGTACTGTATTGTAAACTGTTAATATCTCGAGCGATAATCGATGTGTCTTTTGTCATTCTAGAGTTGCTATAGAATATAAATCATCAGTGAACACATTAATCCAACGGCTACAGCACTGTTGATAGCTGTACTCGGTACTGTATTGCCAATTTTGTATATCTCTAGCGATAACTGATCCATCTATTGATAATTCTAGCATTGCATCCATCCTAACCTTAAAATTGTTCAAAAATTGGTATTCTTTTACAATTTTTCGTCGTTCCTGTTCTAATTCTAACTTCATTTCAGACATTGCTTAATTAAAATGTGAGACTTATGTATATCGGTTAGTGAATTAGCCAATTTCCCTCGGCCATGTAAGATTCTTTATTTCCTCGTCTTCGTCTCAGCCCCAGTGTGTAATTTGAATCATCGACAGTGGCGAAATGAAGCAGGTGTTTCACTTTTACCCAAAGAGAGTGACCTCTGCGTTGAAACACTTACCCAATCCGTAAGTGTAACTCTTGGCAAGCATTAGATGGAATCGTGGACGCCGATGTGACACGGTCCGATGGCAGAGCCGAAACCTCGGGCGTGTAGACGACGCCTCGCGTGACGCTGCGACATGTGTTCGACATTCGAGTAGTGACGTGATGGAACGAACCGCGATTTTTCCATTCCAGCCGCGTACTCGCGCGAACAATTAGGCTCGTCGCTGAATTCCTCGCGCGCTTTTCGCTCGCCCGATGTTCCAGTAGCTCTCGTGGATTATTCCAGCGATCCTCGACGAGGTACCGTTGCTAGGGTACGCGTCGAAGACGTCGACATACCATCTAGGGAGCACGGTACGACAAAATAAAGAAACGAGGAAAAGGAAGGAGAAATATGGAAAAGAAAAATGGGTCAGTGACAGTGAAAATTCGTATCTAGAGATTGTTGATCAATTTCATGTAGAAATCTGAAATGAAACTGAGAGAAATGGAATGGGAAATAGGAAAAATTCGGAGGAGCGATGTCAACTGTAAATTAATATTTGGAAAAGGAAAATATTACGTGAAACCCTGAAATTAAGTAGAACAGAAGGAATAAAATCGTTAATAGGAAGAATTTTTGAGGGGGGCAATTCAAATTCGTACCTAGACGTTAAGTAGGAATTAATAATATTAAAAAAATATTAAAATCCCAAAATCAAGTATTAAAAAAGAAAAGAAAATAATTATTAGAATTCTGAAAAGGTGCATTTAAAATTCCTCAAAATCCTAAAATCAAGTATCAAAAAGAAAGTAAAATAGTTAATAGAAAGAATTTCAAAGAAATGCAATTAAAATTCGTACTCAGACATTAACTAGTAACTAACAAAAAGAAAAAAAGAATATTACGTAAAATCCTAAAATCAAGTATTAAAAGAAAAAAGAAAAATTATTAGAAAAAATTCTGAAGAGGTGCAATTAAAATTTGTATTTAGATATTAACTAGGTACTAATAAAAGAAAATATGTATATATATATTTTCTTAAAATGAAGTTGAAAAAAAGTAAAAAAATAGGGGATGAAATAAATAGGAGGGAAAATTGGGAAGAGTGCGAGCGAATGTTTGATATCCAGGCGTTACGTGGCAAGGGGTAGAGTGGGCCACGCAGTGTTTACTGCCGCGTATCGATCATCGTGCCACGGAGCAAGGGCAACATTAGAGGGCTCATTACGTTCGTATCCTTCGCTACAACAATGGCTACTTGGCATTCGCGTTATGCCGCCGGCTCGACATTGTTCTCCGCGACCGTTTCACGGGGCACCATGGGCATACGTGGGATTCAATCGAAGGGCAATGCGTCTTCCGCTGCATCCCGCGTCCTCCTCGATCCTTGAACAAATGGGACCCGCGGCAAAAAGGAGAGCCCCGCGAGATTCGTACGGATTGAACGGAGGGAACACGGGGATAAGAAATCTTCTCCTTCAGTTTCTTTTCGCTCCACCTTTCCTCTCTTCCGCTTCTTTTTTCCTTCCTCGCGAAAGAATTACGAGTTTTGTGATTTGTTCGAGGGGATTTATTGGCTCCAGATGAAGAAGATTACTTCAGCGTCCAGAGTTAATCTCGAACTTCTTCCAGTATTCCTCTTTTTATATTTCTCTTTTCCTTTTCTTCCGAATAATGAGTTTTGTGATTTATTCGAGGGTGCTTATTAGATTTAGGCGAAGAAAATTAATTTATCTTCGAAAAATCGTCTGAAATAATTTTTTTCTATTTTCTGTAATGTTCTGTTTAATTATTTATTTATTAATTTATTTTCCTTTCTTTTCTTAATATTTTTTAATATAATTTCTCTTTCATTTCGCGATAGAAGTTTCAGATTCTTTATTCGGGTTTTCGAAACGAGAGATACTATGAAATATTGGAAGAAATGGGGGGTGCATTGTGGGGCACGAGATTCACGGTGATTTTTCTTTGTGTTGCAGCAAATCTTGCAAAAATCGTCAGTCTCCGTGGAGATTGAAGTGAGGCCCAGGCAACTGGTCCCAGATACCAACTGTTTCATCGACTACCTGCCGCAATTGCAGAACATCTCGAAGGCGATTTCCGGGGCACAGCCAATCTACACGCTCATGGTGCCGCTTGTAGGTGAGTCAATTTCCAACTTTCAAACTCTTTTCGTACATTTCTTATAGATTTATGACAACATCGCTCAATCAATGCACGAGAAAAATTTTTCGAACTTAAAAATTTTGCGTTCCCAAGATTCCAAATTTTGCAGTTCTATCATGACTCAAAATTCTCACAGTTCAATCAAGAAGAGAAATATAAATTATGTAAATCAAATACAAATACGTTCGTGAATCAATAATTCATTTAATTCAGTTAATTGGAATCACGTCAATGATTCGAGAGGTAAAATAATTAAATTTATTACGTAAATAATCGCAAGAAAATAGTTGCATCGTTACCATATTAAAGATATCGATATTCCTGATCAAGAAAATACGATTAAAATAAAATGAAAGACGGAATGAAGCAAAATTAACATATCATGCAGACTGTTGGAACACCAACACCCACGAGAATGCCTCCGTGGTATGTACTGTGCGTCCGAGGAAAGAAGGCACAGCGTGTTTACATCCTTACAACTGATTAAGGGGACAGTACAGTATGACATAACCTCTATCGCAACCTTTCTTTAAAAATTCATAGAAAACGTTTGACACAAGGTAGCAGTGCAAATTTTTCACAGACTTCGCTTTTAACTTTAATCTAAATACAAAAATATTCAGATAAAGAATATCATAACAGGAATCGTAGTTACTGCCTGCAAACTAGGCAACTAGGATCACAGATTCACGATATTAGTCGAAAATGTCAATACAATCGAATAATTCGTTCAAAAAGCTATAGGAATTAAAATGACTATAGCAATTCAATAGATTTTGGTTCCCTCATTTATGCAAAAATTTTTAGCTCACATCAAACAACGTCGGCATACTTTAAACTAATTCCGAGACGACTAAGAAGAAGGCACTTTACAAATTTCATTTTGCGATCAATATATACATTTACAAGATAAAACCATAATTATGAAATTTAACCCTTTGCACTCGAGAGATGACTCTCAGTCACCATTTAATCAAATTCTAAAGATCGACGTTAATTAATATATGAAATATAAAATTTCCTAACGATGTGCGGAATGTCGAAGAAAAATAATTCTACGTTTCAATTTGCGTTATGAAATTTAACCCTTTGCACTCGAGAGATGACTCTCAGTCACCATTTAATCAAATTCTAAAGATCGACGTTAGTTAATATATCAAATATAAAATTACCTAACGATGTGCGGAATGTCGAAGAAAAATAATTCTACGTTTCAATTTGCGCATGATTTCTCATGCACCATTTTCAAAATTTCGTCGTCTCTATGACAGAAAGTCTTGGAATTACAATTTTTCTGTAACGAAAAAGTCGTCAAGTGCAAAAGGTTAATTACAGCTATCTTCACATTGTTGAAACTGGCCACATGTTATTCCTAAGCCAATCGCTATATATATATATATTTACTTATTGTCAGCTAGACAGATTGTAAATAAATAATAAGGAAGGTCGAAAAAGAAATTTTTAGCTCAGTGGAGTTAATCAGCGGTGAGGATGTAAACACGCTGTGCCTTCTTTTCCCGAACGCGCTATAGGTACACGTACTCGGCGCGCACGCAAGTGCACCGAAAAGAATCGATCGCTTAATCGCGCGGCAGGGGTTGGGGGTTAATTATCTGCGATATTCGGCGTGAGAGCGGAGCGGAGGCAATTTGCTCGTAACGCGAGCCACGAGGAAGAGACGAAATAATTCTGCACGGTCTCCAGGAGCGTCTCTGAACCGGTTGACCCCCGCTCTCCCGGCGGGCGAATTGTGGGGGGGGGGGGGGGGGGAGGAGAAAAAGTAAAACGTATGAAATAATCGGCGATAAATAACGAGCGGGAGGTCGTGACTCGCGCGCGAGCACGCGTGCGACCGTGTCTCGTGGGCCTATGCCCGCGGACCGAAAATAAAAGGGGGCCCCACGCCAATCGATCGGCCCGGGTATCGTGAACCCGCCTCCGCGTCTTGCTTTCTTTCTATTTTTATGGTCTTTCCTTTTCTTTCTTTTCTTTTGCTTCCTCCTTGATTTCTTATATTATTTTTCTTGGACTTTTAGGGGGAGGGGGTGAAGATTTGGGATTTTATTGGGCCTCGTAATGCGTTGGATTGGGATGTTTGTATATGATAATAAAAGTCGATGTTAATTTTGTTAAAAATATAGTAGCTACGCGTTTTCGAGGATTATAAAAATAAAATTTTAACCCTTTGGAAGCTTTTACTATTGATGCTGGTGTATATTCGGCTCCACGCGTTGATTTAATTTTATTTTTATGGTCTTTCTTTTCTTTTCTTTTCTTTTTCTTCTTCTTCGATTTCTTATGTTATTTTTCTTGGATTTCTTGTGGGGAAGGGGTGAAGATTTGGGGTCTTATTGGGCCTTAAAGTGCGTTAGGTTGGGTTGTTTGCGTAGGATAATAAAAGTTGATATTAGTTTTGCCAGAAATATAGTAGCTATGTGTCCCATAATTATAAAAATAAAATTTTGAATCCTGTGGTAGCTCGTGGTATTGATGTTAGCGTAAATTCACCTTGATGCTTTGATTTCCTTTGATTTCTGTGGTCTTTCCTCTCTTTTCTTTTCTTTTTCTTCTTCCTTGATTTCTGTGGTCTTTCCTCTCTTTTCTTTTCTTTTTCTTCTTCCTTGATTTCTTATATTATTTTTCTTGGATATTTTTGGGAGAGGGGGTGAAGATTTGGGGTCTTATTGGGCCTCGTAATGCGTTGGGTTAGGATGTTTGTATATGACCAAAGGTAGATATTAATTCTGTCAAAAATATAGTAGCTATATTTCTTGTGTTTTCGTTAATTATAAGAATAAAATTTTGAACCCTTTTGTAGCTCGTGGTGTTGTTACTAAAATTGTTAGCCTCTAATATGTGTGTAAATATGATATATTTACATATTTGTAGCAGATGATGAGTATATAGTATATTTCGCAATATTATAGTAGATAAAATAGTAGTTAAAAGAATTGGAAACTAAAGAAATTTCAACAAATATATAATTCATTTTATCGGAATAGGAGTCTCATTAAAAATCAATATAAATTTTACAACAAACATTTACATGCTTTTAGTAATTCAAGGACCAAAGTAAATATCCTATATTATGTATAATTAACTAAATTTATTATACTCTTTTCATACCGCTTTCGAATAGTCGTCCTATTTATATGTTTACTCATACTCCTCTTATATCTTGAAAAGCCTATTCCTGTTTTCGTAATCACGTCAATAGCAAATAACCGATTAACATAACGAGTATACAAATATTCCAAGTACTCTAATATTTGCTCAGTGCTCACGAAACTAATTTCAATCTCTCTCCCAACATTCGAAACTTCTCGAAACCAAAAGCACCACATATTTCATTAAATGTAAGTAATCAATGAAATCATTATTATAAAATTTAATTACTGTTGCTTCACACTGGTGGAACAAGCCAATCTTCTTAACCCTTTGCACTTGGCGATCTTTTCATTACAGAAACATAGTAATTCGAAGACTTGCTGCCATAAAATCGACGATATTTTCAAAACGATAATTAAGCACTGCAAATTAACCCCTTGGCTACTGTGGGCTTAGAAATTTTGCGTTTGTAACACACAGGACGCCTATAAGCGCTTAGAAATTTTGCGTTTGTGACACAGAGAGCGTCTATAGGCGCTCGGCGTAGTTTGGCTTTCTGACACGGAGGGCGCTTGTTCTCACAAAAATGGCGCAGATCGTAACTCAATTCCTGCCGTATGTTATAGCCACTACGTATCGAAGTCTGCCGTAGTCAAGGGGTCAATTGTAAGACATAGAATTATTTTACCTCGATATTCCACGTGTCGTTGGACAATTTAAAATTCGAGGTATTAATTAACAATGATCTCTAGAATTTGATTAAATAGTGACTGAGAGTCGTCTCTCGAGTGCAAAGGGTTAATATCCCTAAGCCTAATCATCACACAATCGTTTACTCATTATCATCTACGCGAATTTAATGATCTCTAGAATTTGATTAAATAGTGACTGAGAGTTGCCTCTCGAGTGCAAAGGGTTAATATCCCTAAGCCTAATCATCACACAATCGTTTGCTCACTATCATCTACACGAATCGCAAATAAAATCATCAAAATGGAAAAAATTTCACATGGTATCCGAAAATTATACCCAAACTCGATTGTCAGTTTCTCGTCGAAATTAATTTCCCCTCGCCTCTCATATCGACACGATATTCCACGTAAATCCGAACCGTGTTCGCAGGAAACCTTTAAACCGAGTAATTCGTATCTAACGATTTAATGGAGAAAGCAATTAGTCGAAAATTGCAAATTGATGACACGAATTTCTAAAATTACCGCGCAATTCATCCGCGCTTGTTATTCCCTTCTCAAAATTCTCGACACGTTTCATTCGATCTCTCGTCGCTATTAAAAAGCTGGCCCGAGGCCGATCGTGTCATCGGGGGAACATCATCATCGGGTCATGGCATAGGTCAAAGCGATGCGCAAATATGTTACTCACCTTGCTGACCACGATCATCATTGTCGTCATCAGTGTCTTGGTCATCGGCCGTTCGCAGAATCTTCCTTTCCCTTCTTCGCCAACTTGAGATCCCGATAATTTGCTCTCTCATTGGCACACTTGTAACGCGTTGCCTGCCGTTGCGTTTCGTGATACAAATTGAGACGCAAATTGGATAATTTGCTACTTATTTGTTTGCCATTAGCCGACCATCAATCCTGTTTGACGTGAAATCGTTTGTAATGCTTTGCTCGTACGATAGACTAGTTGTGAGAAAATTACACGTGCGTTTAGAGGTGTGTCTGGTAAAGGCAGTGATTAGGCTGATTGCAGTCTGCAAATTAATTTCGTCGTGCTGATTGCGAGCACGTAAATGCGCACACTTAACGGTCAATACCATTTAGAATCTTCTATTTAAATTTTAAATTAAATATTTATTTAATAGGCCTGTTTTCGTGTACTAAATGCTGCTTTCCGTTATTGCG